TGTTAATAGGGAGACAAGGAGCAAGACCAATTCCTGAGTGATACATGGTGTTTTCTTGCTGGTTGGGTGAACACATATCAGGTCATTTCTCTCAAAATGAGATTAACCTTTGCTCTCATGTCTGCGGGAGTGAGGAGGGGGAAGTAGCAGCAGCTCCAGAGAAGCTCCGAAGACCAGTGGCACAATAACAAAGGGGAAGTCTTGACTGTACTTGTCTCAAACAAATATATAAGATCGACAAAGCAGCCTCCCTCAGTGTGCCCAGAGCAGGAGGGCTTAATACCCACACACATTTTTTTTTCATTCTCCTATTCAAGACAGCCACAGGTCCTTATCTGAGGAGGCCAATAGGGTTTGAAAAAGGCCAGGCAGTTCTTCCTGAAGGTTGGATCTGCCAGCTCAAACTCTCTCCTCCCATATAACAAATAAATTAAATGGCACTTGAATGGGTCTGAAATTGCCAAAATTAGTCATTCCTTTTTTCCAGATTGTTATCATTCAAATGTACTGAGGTGAGAGGATCAATGAGAAGGGAACTGGAGTAAATTATTAACATCCATTAGTGTACTTCAGTACCACATTAGTTAATTGTTTCCCAGAAAGCGGGGCCCAGAAAGAATGAGAGATGGGACAGGTAAGGTTTGATAGGGCAGAAAAAGCAGAGAAAAGGGTCTGGGGAGGGGAAGAGGGCTGGGTTAACAGGGGTTGTAATTGGAAAAAGACGCCAAACATTTTGCTGACTTAATTTATCTTTGATCTTTCATGTGATTGTTTGCTTTCCAGTCTCTAATATCAATAACAGTGGGTAGTTAGAAAAATCACCTAAGTTGTTTAAAAAAAAAAAAAAGTAACGATGACTAGGCCCATCTTGGGCCACTAACTCAGAATTCCCTGGGAGGAAGGGGGTGGGTCCAAGCAGACAGTGGCAATTTTCAAAGGGTCCCCAGGTGATTGTTTCGTGGAGTTCCAGTTGAGAATCACTGCTCTGCGGGTCACATCTTCTCCAGCATTGAGTATAATGCTGCTGAAGCAGCCTAGCAAACAGACCAGAAACCATACCCTTCTCATTTGGCAAGTTGGAATCCGAGGGTTAAAATGGCAAATTACAGTCCAATGGCACCAGCTGCCAAATACCTGCAGGCAAATAAAAGTCAAAGATAATCTCCTAAGGCAGTAAATGGCTGGCATCCATGGTTGTGGTCTGCAAAAAACCCTTGTCAGAAGAAGTTACTTTTATCTCACACAATCTTTTGGCTGATGGGACCATCAAGAATCACCCAATTTACACTCTTATCTCTAGGCATGTCAAGGCAGAACATGCAGCCCAGAAACGAGAAGCAAAAACAAACCAAAAACCCCTACTACCTTCAAGTGTTTTATAAAGATACCTTAAGATTTCCTTAAATATTTTAAAGAGATGCTCATACTTAGGTATGCTATTTAACCCAATTGTTAATCACGAGCTGTTTATTCTAAGGAGCTACAATAGGAGTTCCCAGTCTGCCTGTCGTCTCACTACAATTCTGTATTCTCACATCCCTTATCTGAATGTCTCTCATTTCATTTATCAAATCTGTTGGTTATAATTTGTTTCAATGCCAGGTCTGTGGTGAACTCCAGGGCTGAAGAGAGCCAAAACAGCTTTCAGCTGCAAAAAAAAACACTTAACTACTTGATATTATTGAATTTGAACGTATCACTACGAAGTCATCTTGCAGTTATAGACTTCCTTTTCCTAGCAGGGCACGTATCTGGTAGGAACCGAGCATCTCCTCACACCTGGAGGAGAGGCTTTCTGCTCCAAATTCATTCAGAAGGTGTTGTGGGCTGTCTGACTCTCCAAAACCAAGTAATAATAAAAATATTCAATGAAGGTACACAATCTTTTTCGAAGGTATTCTGAGGAATCCTCCTTTGTGTGAAAGCATGTGTCCTAAAATATACATAGCATTTAGCCTCATTCACATCTTTCAAATTGCCCTTTGAGTTACTATAGGGCTCATGACTTGCTCTATTTTCTGTGGCCTAAAATCGACCAAACTGAAAGCAACAGCTGTATTTTTGTTGCAGGTTTCTTGAAGTGTGACATGGTCTTTGCCCCCAGACGTGCCAACAATGTTCTTGAGAGACAGGCTTGCAAGGGTTGCATGTTAAGGTTCTATGTCATTAGTAAAGACACTGGGTACTCAAGAGGGTTCAGGAAGTAATCACAGGGGTCTGAAGTCTACAAAGACTTCATAAAAGAGAGGGAGACTCGAGCTGGCCCTAAAAGTAAGAAAAATAAACAGGGAGAAGGATGGCCTTCTAGGAGGGGAAAAGAAACTCATTAGGGCTGTGGACTTCTCCCTTCTGGAATTATATTAATAAAATATCCTTCTCTAAAACAACTTGGAAGAAATAATCAAACCAAGTTTCCTGGGCATTTTGGGTCCTATGGAAAGAAAACTGGTAACCAATGGTACTAAACCAGATGGCTACTAGAAGTTATTGGCTATAAGGTGCAAGATACAGGAATGACGTTAGAAATTCATTCACAAAAAAAGTTTTATTGCTCCTGACAACCCCTGACAAAGTGGAAAATTACCTAAATGTTAGATATTACTAGATCACATTTCTATGAATATTAAGACTCTCGAAACCCAGAGATTCTTTTTTTTTTTTTTTGCGGTACGTGGGTCTCTCACTGTCGTGGCCTCTCCCATTGCAGAGCACAAGCTCCGGACGCGCAGGCTCAACAGCCATGGCTCACGGGCCCAGCCGCTCCGCGGCATGTGGGATCTTCCCGGACCGGGGCACGAACCCGTGTCCCCTGCATCGGCAGGCGGACTCTCAACCACTGTGCCACCAGGGAAGCCTGCCCAGAGATTCTTAATCCAAAAACGTAACATGGACCCAGAAACTCTCTTTTAGGCACAATGTTGACACACTGAGTAGTTCCCACTGTGCTTGGTTTTTCCACAAAATTAAACTAACCCTCACTGGGTTTTCCAATGGCTTCTTCCCAGAGTTTTCAGAATAAACATTCTGGGCTATTTGGTCTACAGAGGGCAGGTCTATACACTGAAGGAGGAAAGTGGGGGTGATGGAAGGAGTTGAGCTCCTTCAGGTTCCAATCTCCACCAAAGATTTAAAAGCTAAAAGCAAAAGAGAAAATATCAACTTAATAAAAGGAAAATCACACTGCCAAGATTTATTTAACTTTTTCTTTCACAGAAAATACAAGTATGTAATGTAAACACTGACATGTGAAATAAAGTACAAGGATCAGGAAGACAAATGAATTAAACAATACTCTTGCTTCAACACTGCAGTGCTTCCTGATTTCACTTGCAGCATGAATCTCACGGTTAAATAGATTATATACTGGAAAAATTAAAGGCAACATTCATTTAGATTTATCAAAACACCAGAGAGCCTCTGAAATCCAACAATGCCATATGGAAGTCAGATCTTTCTTTTGCAAAAAAATTACAGCTGAGCACATGTCCATTTATCTGTTTACCCAAGGCATTTAATGTAGGAGCCTAAGAATGAATTAATACATGAGCTTAATATGCCTGTGGAGGCAAAGATTAAACTGCCTCTTTTCGCTCTTCAGAGAAAATAAAATTAACCAAATTTAAAGCAGAGCTGCCCAACACTGGCCAGAAGACAGCACAATCACAATGAATTCTTATTTCAATAAATCCTACAAAATGCAAAACACAATAAAGGATTTCCATTTGTGCTTTGCCCAAATGGTCAATCTGGATCTAATGCTGCAGAATTACATGGGGTTTGGAAGGTTCTTTCCCAGAACTCCAAACTAGAAAAAATGACCCAAATAAATTGTTGGGATCAAGAACCACCTTGATTTAAAACAGAGAATCAGTTTCTAAACTTGAATTCAGTAATAAAGAGTGTGGGCTTCCCTTTAATGTTATAATCTCAAGAGATTAAAATGAGTGGTCTTTCTTATCAGATGACACCTACCAGTTGACAGGTATACTTCGATAGCAGATGCTACTACACAGGCTGGTTCAGTAACAGGACTCAGTGTTGTGAGATCTGGGGTTCAGACAAGGCTGCTTAAGATCCAGAGATCAGAGAGCCCTGGGACTGCCAATACACCCAACTCCCTCGCTCAGCTCTACAATCAAAGCTTATTACCAATAAGCTGTAGACCTTCATTCATTCCTTGATAGTCAACAATCTGTGGAGAAAAACGTACCTGAGATACTTTATCCTTACAGTGAGCAGAGCGGTCAGCTCATGCTGAACACTGATTCTCTGGAGGAGAAATGCTACTCTCACCAAGTGTTTTGAAACTCTCTTCCCAGGCAAAGCTAACCTCCCTGTATTGCTGAGGTGGAGATGTTTTTGTTTTGTTTTTTGTGGTACACGGGCCTCTCACTGTTGTGGCCTCTCCCGTTGCGGAGCACAGGCTCCGGACACGCAGGCTCAGCAGCCACAGCCCACTGGCCCAGCCGTTCCGCGGCATGTGGGATCTCCTGGACCGGGGCACGCACCCACGTCCCCTGCATTGGCAGGCGGACTCTCAACCACTGCGCCACCAGGGAAGCCCAGGTGGAGATGTTTTAACGCGTTTATATATCATGTGAAAAACACCTTCACAACAAAAAACATTCATTTTTATATCCCTTACCTATCGAAATTGGCAGAGTGTTCTGCAATTTACTGTGCTCTCACTAAAGATATTCATAGAACAGAGCAAACTGAAATCAGGTTTTAAAAGGGATAGCAACTGATATTCCCAAGGAATACCTAGATTGATCATGACCTTTTTTGTGCTATATTACAGTAAGTTCTTGCTTAGAAGGCTTTTTTTTTTTAACATGCAACATGATAAAATGGATCAGTACTGTACCACTTTGATTAGAAAAAAACCACTCACCATGGACCTCCATTACTGTACCTTCTCATTTACCTTGGCAAAAAAAAGAGCTCTAGCCACTGTGAAGGACAGTGCACTATTACTGCAGGTATGGCAAGATCTTTCACTAGAAATTCTCTGTCCCATAGTCAGACCACATGTGCCAATATCTGCCTTGGGAAACAGTAATCAAGTATTGAAAATTAAATACAAAAATCCTTAAAGCAGCTAGTGGGACCCCAGTTTATCTTCACTCTCCAGTTATCATTGTTCATGCTATCTAGACCTACTGACTCACAATTCTTCAACCCCTCCCCAGATATTCCTTTAGAGGGGATCCGAATGAGGACTCTTCATATGGTAACTAGCCATTTCTTCCCTTGTCACTTCTCCTCTCTTGGGATCAGTTCCTACTGAAAATCCCTTCTCTTTGAAAAATGAAAGATAGAAACTCTGAAAAATGAATGCATCCTATTTGCAGATACTAGACACAATCACCCTTAGGGAAATAAGGCACTATAACGTGACCCCAGATTGACTGTAGGAATGGAACTTGTATTGGATCCTGTGTGGCTGCAAAGGAGCCTGACTTCCAAACATGAGCACTACTTTCCTGCCACAGGCCAGGCTGCATCCCGGAGTACCGCTATGATGGTCTAACCAACAGGCAGACTGGAGGCTCCAAAGAACTCACAGAAACACAGATAAAATTCTTCCTTAAAATAGAAAGTTACGTTATCAATTAGGTCTCTGGCCAACCTCATCATTCTTTCAAGTAATGTTCTCATAGTCAAGTGAGGAGTACGGACGAGCACTGGATGAGAAGTTAGGCAACCCAGGTTCTGGTCCTAGCGCTACTACTTATTGGCTGTGTGGCCTTGGGCAAGTCACCTTACCTCCCCCTGCCCCCTGCCCCATAGTCTCAGTTTCTTCATCTGTAAAATGGGGATAAAACCACTTCCTTTGTCTACCTCACGTCATGACTGTGAGGATCAAATGAGATAATGTGAAAGTGCTTTGTAAACTATGAAATACTGTGTGTAAAAGCAAAGTAAGGTATATACTTATGTTTTAATTAAGTCCTTATCATTGCCTACTTGACTAGAGGTGCCCCATGCAGGATGTGCTTTGCAACAGACATACTCAAAAACAGGTGCCATGAATATACACTGGTCTTTCTCACTAGGGTTGTTTAAAAAGGGAGATTCTTAATTTCCTCAGAAACGGCCTCAGAATAAATTACTTTAAAATGTGATGTCATCCAAATCTACCAACTGATAGAGTTGATTTTCTCCACGTATGTCCTGTACAGTTATAGTCTGGTCTGTTGATACCTTTATGCAGGGAAGTCTTGAATTCAAGAAACAGCATGCTAAAGCTTAAAAACAAACAAACAAAAACCCACACCCATATAGTTATAGTTTGTTGTAAAGGAAATAAGATGAAAGCAAGAGGCATCCTATGTAATGAAATTAAGCCACAGTTCCTCAACTGGTTGCATTTTTCCTGAGATACCTCCAGGGTAGGGTCCTGGTCCTGTGACATGCTTTAGAAAAGCTTAGTCTTGCCGGAGGTGAAAAGGACATGTAGGTTGGCAATTAGGCTGTGGTCATTTTCAGCACTAGGATTGGAACGAGGTCGTCTGCTAGGAGCTGCCAAAGAGCTTTGGTGGAGAAGCTCATACGGCCCAAGGGAGGCTAGTTCTTGGATGCCAAGCCAGAGTGTGTAGAACAGCTCAACACAGCCATCCAGTCTCGGGATTTTCAATTCTTCCTGAAAGTTGGTTCTACTCTTCTCCGGTCTAGTAAATAATTGAACAGAAGAAAAACAATGAGATGTGGAGCAATGTATCTACCCGGACTTTAGGGCCTTTCTCCACCTAGCTGCACAAAGTGTACATGCAGAACAGAGACACACATTAAGAAGTGAATGTGATTGACTCTGACAAGCCCAAAGAGCCCAGATTCCAGTATTCTTGTCAGATGGCTTTTATTACAAATGTTACAAACGATGACTTGGAGGGAGTCCTGTCAGTGGAATTACCAGTTAACAGGATGGTTGTCCTTTGGGGCCACAGGCATGGTGCTAACCTCCACTTTTCTTCCTGATTTGCTTTCCTTTCCGGGGTTTGAGGATGGTGTAGTTTGCATACACTGTATACTGATCTGACAGGAAGGGAACATAGAATGCCCGCAACAACTTTGAAGATCTGAAAAACAAGAGAAAAAAGAAAAGACAGAATTTTATCATTTGAGAGAATTTACTAATGTATTGAAAATGATTAAAGGAAATAAACAAAGTGCTATGGTGAGGATATTTTATACAAGCAGCACAGAAAAGTCTGTTATTTAGCTACTAGATCTTGATAAAAGACTTACTCAAGACCAAGTACCTTCTTACCTGCACCCAAATGATAGCCTCTCTATTAAGCCACAGGATATCCTTCAGAATAGCTCTAGGTCTGCACTTTGCATTAGAATTTGCCATAGAAAAATTCCAATTCAATCAAAGGACTGCTATTACAGAAATAAATTCTTAATACCTCAAAGGTTTCTGTACCTAAGAAACTAATGTAGAGATGCCAAAATGCTCAAATGATCCTGACTCTGGCTCTAAGTTTTCCTGGAGAGCTGGAGAAAACTGTGTTCTGGGCTTCCTGTGCGTACTGTTCTGGCAATTCTTAAGTCAAAGAGAGAATCTTTTTACTTTTTACTAAAATATAGATAGGAACAGCTAAAAACCTGAATTTCTCACAAGTTTCTAAAGAATCTGAAAAATACCTCACATTTATTGAATACCTAGTATTGAACAGGCACTGGTGCTTATACTTTTAAGGATATTATTTAATCCATCTGATAACACTATGAGGAAAGTGATATTATCCTTATTTTATATATAGGAAAATGAGACTTACATAGATTAAGTAACTTGACCAGGGTTACACAGTAAGTGATAAAGCCCTCATTCAAATCCAGATTTGATTCCAGGTTCTGCACTCTTACCACTCTGGTTTATCCTGCATCCCAGGAACAGGCTAACAGGATTCATCACTTACTAGAAAAAGCGGCAGTGATAGTTTTAAATTCTATACAAAGTATTACTTCTTGACTATGGTTTCTGAGTCTAAAAACCAAAAGTTGGCCCTGAAACTGCCAACCTAAATGAGGTAGCTGAAGGGTGTTCCACTGCCAGTCCTTTTCCAGACTCTCAACTTGTAAATGTCATGTCAACGTGGCATTTGTACTGGCAGCCTACCCCTGAGTTTGGCAGACTCCTGCAATGCCTGCACACAATGATATCGTGCTTGGCATACACACCTCTTAGAGATTCTCCCCAACTGGGATGCTGGCAGTGCTCTGTGCTCTACAGAGATGCACTTCACTTCAACAGCTAACAGCTCAAGGGCTTTGATAGAGAAAAGAGGCTTAGAAGAGAGACACACGAGATAAAGCAGGGCTCCTGCAAACAAAATGAACAGGAGGAGGAAGCACCTACCTCAGTCAAAAAGAAGTTAATTTATTCTTTCTGTCCGTGCTGTACAGATAAGGGGAAGGTCAGAACAGAAAGTTGTAAGCTGGAGCAAACTCCTGCAGGCTTCAGTGTAGTAAAGAAAGGCTAAACCGAATTAAACGTTATTTCCATTCCAGTTGACTCCACACTAAAAGCTTCACTAATACAGTCAGTATATATTTCCGGTCAACTCAGTCCTTGGTATAACATTAGGTCCATTGGGCCCAATTTTACTTTCTTTTTGGAACTATTCCTTACTATTTGGAAGGACTGTTATTTCATAATTTTATTCTTCTTAGAGTCTTCCAAACAACAAAGGGAAATTATACTTACTATCAAAAATAGAGTAAAACTCATTCTATCTTGTAACTACCATATGGGTCCAGCACAAGCTTTTATAAATTTAAGCTATATTATTGAATCTTAGTGGTCTTTTTTTTTCCCTACATCTTGGATTATTTACAACTGTGCTTTAAAAAAAAGACAAATGATAAGAGAAAGGAAGAGTGATGAAATCCCCAAAAAGGATGATGCAAAAGTGATTCAATTATATTATCCTTCAATTTTCTCACTGCACTGTCCAAAGTATGCATCATCTTTCAATAAGGTGCAAAAGACTTGAGACACTATCTTTGTAGTCTGCACTTAGCTTTAATTGAGCACTGCTGAGAGTTCAGAATTTTAAAATTTTCTGTCCATAATGCCAATGAGAAGAAAACTGACAGAGGAAGACATTTCACAATTAGACAAATCAGAAGATGAATGCAAAGAGACAAATAGCAGCAATTAAGACTCTAATGATGATGGTAACATTTATCATAAAGGCAAAATTTCACACTATGAGTCTTTAGATGACCACATACTAGACAAATTTTCTAACTCAAGAAATGATGAGTGAACAGTGTATTTCTAAGAACAAAAAGGAAATAGGTGTTCTCATTCAGTTAGTCATTCAACAGGAAGGACTTTGGAGGGATTCAGAATGAGCCTCCCCAAAGCATACAGCTAGCATGCAGATTATTTTGAGTTGAAGATAAGGCCCAAGATACACAGGAAGAACTTTCTACCTCCCCCTTAACTACCTGAAAGAATCTAGGTAGGGAAGCTGGCTCAGAGAGGGAGGTATTACCAGAGATAATTTTTTATCTGAATGACATATCTGTGTGGCAGGGAAAACATCTGCCCTTCTTACTGTCCTGTGAATGACCCTCCTCCCCTCCAAAGCCCCAGGCCTCTATCCTGTTCCTTAGCTCAGGATGGCATATAAGCCTCAACGGCCTGAGGCTTGTCTTTGGGTCTCTCATTTTTATGGGGCTCCTGTACATATGAAATTAAATTGGCTTTTCTCTTGTAAATCTATCTTACATCAATTTGGTTATTAGGCCAACCAAAAGAACCTAGAAGGGTAGAAGGAAAAGTTTTGCTCCCCTACGACTTCATCATGCAATATTTTGCAACAAGAACTTGGACTATCCTGTTATGCTAAAAGGGCATATGACTACATTCTTTTATCTTTTATGGGGTCTGTGTGCCAAATTCTATTTGATACAGTTCATGAGTGGACAAATGCTGAGGGCAGGTTAATATATGAAAGTGGCTAGAAGGATACAGATAATAAAGAAGTAAAAAATCCAAAACATTGATCATTTTGATTGATGTTTATAAATCTAAAGATGAAAGTGTTTAAATTATGGAGCAAAGAAGATAGCTGTCTTCTCTTCAACAAAATTACGAGCCATTTAAGGTTTCAAAAAATTCTTCAAGTTTTGCATTTTGATAATACAAATGCAGGAAGAACCAGAAGTAACAAGCTAGAACCTATTAGAGATGTATCTGAAGTCTGGAGCCAGTATTTTCAAGATGTATATATTCCAGGTTCATGCATGACAGTTGATGAGTAGTTAGTTGAGTTCAGAGGTACCCATTTCAGGTATGTATATTCAAAACCAGAAGAATATGGAATAAAGATTGGGGTTGCTACATTTATATTATTATTAAAATTTCAAATGAAGTTTTTTTAACTATCCTTCCATTATTCTTATAAGTTATTTTTAAAATAACTAAAATATATGAAAACAAACAGGGTCTATTGGGCCAAGACAGCAAATGGTGATGATTATTTTTAGGCTGATAGGTCATGCCAAGGAGTTCATTCTAAAAGATCATTTCAGAAAACTATCTTGGGCTATACATGGGACATAATCATCATCAAAAATACTGACCTCCCTAAAATGGAAGAAGGGCCACTATGTTTTACCGTTGAATGCAAAAGGCAAGCTGAAACAAAGGTAAAAAAATAAAAGAGATTGGGACAAAATATTTACCATACATTAACAGAGGAAGAGTACCTAGAATATATAAAGTATTCCTGCATTCACTAAGACAAACAACTCAAAAGGAAAAAAATGACAAAGGACATAAACAGAGAAAAGAAATGTAAATGGCCAATAACCATATGAAATAATGTCCAATTTTACTAGTAATTGGGGAAATGTAAATCTAGATACAATTTTTCAATAATCAGGTTTGCAAAAGTTTAGAAGTCTGACAGTATCAAACACTGGCGAGAAATTAGGAAATTGATATTGCCAGTAAAAGTGGAAACCTGCAAGAGCCATTTGGAAAGGCAATTTTAACAATACCAATTAAAACAAAAATTATGCAGTCCCTATGATATAGCAGATGATTTTTATTTTGTACTTTGCACCATATTACTTTTTTTTAACAACCTACTTTGTTTTCCATTTGTTACATAGAAAATTTCGAATATATACAAAAGTACATGAAATATATTACTTGTAATAATTTTTAAAAACCAGTAGACAAAGTTAAATAAAGGAAACCTCAAATCCTTAAAATGAACAAACAAAAAAAACCCCTATGTGCTTACTGTGTGTAGAGCTTTGTGTGCTAGCCCTGAAGCCTCTGTTCTCAAAGAGCTAATAATCTATCGTTGGAAGAAACAGAATATGAATGACATAACCATAATGTAGCATACACTAAATATTAAATAGCTGATACAGAAGTTCAAAGTGATAATACACATATTCAGAAGAGAGAACAAACACTGAGGGTTGCACAGGTGTGGAAGAAGCATTTACTATACATTATTCCATTTTGTCCATCCAACATTCCAAGGTACACTAGGCAAAAAAAAGCAACTTGCCCATCCATAACCAAATCTATAGGCAACTCAGGTTAAATGCTCTGTCCACTCAGCAACAACTGGAGAATGGCTTGAATAAAATCCAAACTCTAATGATCTACAAAGCCATAGGAGATCTAGCCCTCACTTACCTGTCTCACCTCACCTTGTGCCATTTTCTTCCTTGCCCACTACACTCTCACCATACCAGCCTCCTTTCAAGTTCCTCAAAATTACAAGTTCTTTCCTACTCTCAATGAGGATTTCAAAGTCCCACTGAATGTGTGGTTTGCAATAACCATCTTGCTAAGGACAAGCATGTGTTTGTCCCAAGAGACCCAAGAAGCACTGGGATTCTCCCATGCTTCCTCAGTGTATAAGCATAAGAAATTCGGCATCAAATTCTAGATAATGTGTTCAGGAAGCAAGGAGGCATTTCTAATTAAGCCTGAACACAAAACCATATAAGAAGTGGGAACTAAATGTAAGGAGAAGTTAAGTAAAATTTATCATCAGTGCTTCGTACTGGAAAAATCCTTACTAGAAGATGAACC